ACACACACACACACACACACACACACACACACACACACACACACACACACACACACACTGACTGTATAGAACTAAGGATAGATAGTAGATAACCTGATGATGTGGACATGGTTCTGGGTTTCATGTATGTGGGAGGTGGTTCAGGTTTGTCCAGGATAGCACCTGAGGGACACAGACCATAGTACAGCTGAGAGACAATCATTATCTAAGCTGAGTAAATGATGAATACCATAAATGAAGACTGGGCTCGGCTGAAGTCATTCTAAGCTGTAACTGGTAAGCCGTAACAGAATTTAAGGAATATTGTAGTCAAATACATCTTTGCATTTAGGCCTCAGACATATGGAATCATATGGGAATAATTTCAGAAATTAAAAATCAGAAAAGTGAAAGAAAACATATTCCAAATTACATTTGAATAACTTAATGGGGAACTAATATGATAATGTGACTGTGTAAACACTTTTAACCGACAACATGAGAAATACCCCCAGCCCAAAACACACACACTTACCTTCAGAGTTGGCCTTTCTCAGCTCCTCGTCTTTGTTCTGCAACACACACATTGGACAGTATTAAACCTGATTAAGTGGTCACAATATGATGCTCTTATTGATAGAAGATGGTGCCGTTAATATAAGAACTGAAGAAAATATGTCCTATTTTGATCCTTGACCTCATATCATAAGAGCAAACCAACATATTGTAATTCTGTGCTCACACTCTTGGTGTCAGTAGAAGTCGTCTTGGCCACTCCCATTCTGTGCAGCATCACTTGAAGTCTCTGCTCGAAGCTGGAGGTGCTCTCAGACGCATGTTTCTGGAGGACAACACACACACACACACACAGATTAAAATCAACTCTTGATCCTCAATCTATTTAGCCATCCAAATTTTGAGTGATAACTGCCATGTGCAAGGTACCGTATACTGATGCCAATGAGCAAAGACATTCTGATTTGTATTGTCGATGACAGGTTTTGTTGTGTCGATTCAGGGGACTAGAAATTAGTTATAAGCCAAATTTGGTACAAAGACAAGGCAATTTTATTTATAAAGCACTTTACATACACAGGTAGATTGAAGGTGTAGATTCAAGCAAACCTATTTTAATCTATTTTCACAATTTCTAAATGATCTCAAGCATCTTTTTAAGCTTCTAAAAAGAATTATGTGCATATTAGATATGTGCACCTATACCACAATATCTGTGATTGGCCAATACCATCAGTGAAAATAAGTCAGGCTCTACTAAACAGAAGCAAATATCAACCCTATACACAGTAGAAATGTCTCCAGCTTTGAAAGAGTTGAGCAGCCCAAGTTTCAGCTGCTGCTGATAGATGAAACTTCATTCAAGTTCTTGGCTCTTGTTACATCTCTTATCTTCAGCCTCTGTTAGTTTGTGCAAGAATCTAATTCAAGGCCTACTTTATTCTCAATCCAGACCTTAAGGCAGTGTATGTGGTTAACAATCAGTCAATTATCCAAACATACAGTTCATCTGTTAAATAACCTGGATCTATGTTTCCCGAGCAGAATTGTATACTCAACCTAAAATAATACAACTAAGTATCACATATTGACACTGACAGTTAGACAATAATGATTTTTTAATAATAAACTAATGATGAAGACTCTGTCAAACATCACTAACAAAATAATAAATAAAATTGATGATCACGTCCTGGTTAAAAGGTTGTATATAATGATGCTTGTTGTCATGCTTGTTCAGTTGTTCAACAGAAACAGGAAAAGATGTAAAGGTTAAGCACAACATTGTTAGCTGGTCTGCATTATAAGATATCTTCCTGCAAATGAAAGAACTCCTACAAAATGGATGGATTGTGCACTTTATATTTTTAAATGTGAACACCTGCTCAGGAATATCAATGAGTGAGACACCTTGCACATCATCAAACGTGCTCTCTGTTATTTTGGCTGATTGGACCTCTGTGCTGTGCTGTGCTGGAGGGTGACTGGATATCTTTAACTATTAGAGTAATAAGAATAATAAAGATGGTGCCAACAAAGCTGACAGGAGAGCCTTCAGGATGTCATAGTCCCTTCTTCTCTTTTTTCTTAGACCGAGTGAAGGAAGCGGCTTTATTTGCAACCAGAGATGAATGTTCCTCACCACGTTCCACACATTCCAAGAATGGGGAGCCTTGAGATGACGGGGTTAGGGTTAGGTGTGCAGGGCCTTTAAGCTATTAGCAGTTAATATCATAAAACAATCATGCAGATGTTTCACATTTACCTACCTTATCTACCTATTTATCTTGTGTTTTTTAAGTGCCCTTCAAGTGCCCTTGTCCTATTCCGTGTTATTTTTTATTTTTTTATACCTACAGTATCTTATTCTATTGTATTTTTATTGTATCCAAATACCGAACTGCTATGATGCCCTAATTTCCCTTTGGGGATGAATAAAGTAATCTATCTATCTATCTATCTATCTATCTATCTATCTATCTATCTATCTATCTNCTTTGGGGATGAATAAAGTAATCTATCTATCTATCTATCTATCTATCTATCTATCTATCTATCTATCTATCTATCTATCTATCTATCTATCTTTACAGTTCATGAGCAGGAGGTTTTAAGTTTCATTGAAAATAACTCAGCACAGAATTACAAAATAGCAAAGTAGCAAACATCTGCAATGAATTAGTAAGTGACAGCTTGGTGAGATGACTCTGTTGTTCTGCTGCTGGTATTAACATGGGGGAAGTGTTGCATTTGCATTAATAGTAAAAGGCACCAACAAAAATTTTGAATCCAGAGCAGATCTGATTGAGATGTGTTCTGGAAAATAGAAGTACAGGCCTGTTTCTCATACAAGCTTGTTAATAAAGCCTGGTAGTGTTGAAGAACTGAAGCTGGTATTTGTTGGTGCCTCATTCATAATTTATTCTATTAGATGACCTTTCTGTGTGTGTGTTGAGTGTCGCATCAGACTGACCTTACTGTGTGTGTTATCCTTGTCTTCAGGCTCCAGTCCGGTCAGCAGGATGAGACTCTGGCTCTTGCCCTCTCTCAGTGACCTCTTGGTGGCCTTCAGTCTCCTCTCTCCATATGGGGTCCCTCCCAACTTCATCTCCCTCGTTGGCACACTGCTTCTCTCCTGCTCAGTTAAGGGGGATGTGATCTGGCTGGTGGTGCAACCTGACAACACCGCTTCTTCTTCCAGGTTGGAAAGCGTAGCAGCAGTGGAGTCAGGGCCGATGGTGGGGAAAGGAGGAGTGGTCTCACTGGGAGGCGTGGTTAATGTATTGGCAGGTGCCATCACTTCCCTTGCATCTCCTACAAAATGGTGGCTGGTGGCAACGGTTCCTTCTGTGGTGGCGGCATCATTAGAAATGTTAGCATCCTCCCCTGACCTTGCCCCTCTCTCCTTTTCTCTCTCCTTGTCCCTCTCCCTCTCTCTCTCCCTTTCTTTGGCCTCGCGGAGGGGTCGAATAAGGTCTGCAATGGAGGTCCTTTTGACCTTCACCCCCTCTCCTCCTCCCTCTCCCCCTCCTGCCTTGGTGACTCGGCCAGCCCGAGCCCTCTTGAAAGCGAAGAAGTCGCCAAACTTTTTCTTGATGTTTTTGGAAGGAATTGCAGTGGTAGTGGTGGTGGTGGTTACAGAAGAGGGTGTGGGGGTAGTGGAGGATGTAGAGAGGGGTGGAACATCAGTGGAAGTAAAGGATGTGTCAGTAAATGGGACAGAGGGAGAGGTGACAGTGGTGGTGGTAGGTGGTAAGTGGTAGGGGGTGATATTCTCAGACGAAGAGGAAAGGGGGGTTGAAGCAGAGGGGGTGGAACTTGATTCTGGGGGAGTGGCTTGGGCAGGGTTTGACTCCTCCCATCGGCCTTTTCTGCAGCAGGGAGACAGCAGAAAGAGCAACAGACAAGAAGAGACACTCAGTACTACAACTATTGCTACAGGACTCAAGTCACATGCTCAGCTCAGGTACACAACGAGAAACATCATGCAAACAGCTCACAGAGCAAAGACACCTCTCACTGATGGCCTCTGGACCTTTTGGTCCTGGTTGACCATGAAAACAGGTCTGGATCTAACCTTTCAAAACTTTTGGCTAACATTTTTGAACATTTGGTTTATCTAAATTAATCCAGTGTATGACTTTTTGGGTAGCAACATTGTCATGTCAAAATATCTGCAACAACAGTAACCTTAAGAGCCTTTAGGAACCTCATAAACTGTAGCCATGTTGTCTGAGAGAAAAAGGAAATGGTTATGGGCTCAAAGTAAATAATACTTAATCTATCCATTAACAGAACAGATATACAGAACAGCAACTGCTTGGGAATGGTACAGATTTTAGGCTTCAGATATATGTTTGTTCCCCTTACAAATTGAGCTACAATATTGTGTATAGTGCTGCCTTTACTATATGACTGGTAAAGACTAGAGTTGAAAATGAAAATGGACGCCAACAACAGCCCAGTTTGCAGATGCTCTTGAGGTTCCAACATAGCTACACAGGGTTAATTTCATTTGACCCTTAGTTGTCATTCTACACTGTATCCTATAAATAAACAAAGTTTGAGAGATGTGACTGTGTGCTGCAGAAAGGGGTGTGTTTGCTCTGAAGCTAGAATACCAAGAGAGGTGTGTGTTGCCATGTCTGAGCTCTGACCTGTACATACAGCCCTTAGTGTGGCAGTATGGGAAATACATCTGTGAAGTTTTCTGTAAGTAACTGATGACTAGTATTTCTCTGCTGCCCCCTAAGTCCAAGCTTAAAAGAACTATTATACAGGTGGATGAGAACTAAAAAGATAACCCATCATCAAATGTGTTAGTAGGGTGTTGGTCCACCATGAGCCTCCAGGACATCTTCAGTTCTCATTGTAAAAGATTGTAAATGGCAAAACTGTACTAAAAAGGGCATTTAGTGGTCAACAAGACTAGAAAAGTGTTAGTAAAGTGCTGACTTAGCACTTTCAACCTCCATTGTAGAGAATGAGAATCTTTTGCAGAATCAGTTTCTATGATCTTTGCTGGTATCTTAAAGACAGGACTGCCTCTAGTAGGAAGACTGGTGTGCTGTCTGCCATCATCACGGCATCATGTAGGGCAGCTGTGGGGAAATCTACTTCAGTGAAACAACAAGAACAGAATAACTGTCTGTGAACACTAGACCTAGATGTCTCTGAGCATTTACCTGGACCAGGACAACAATTGTCAAGCAGGGGTCTCTGTGATTGAAAGATGTGCAAACTGCTCATAGCCACAATGCAGGTGTGGTGCTGGTTGATGGATAACAGTTTCTGTTATTTAAGGTACTTCTAATATTTCCAGTAAAATTTGTTGTAATTTCTAATTCGATCATTTAAAAACAGGATGAAATGTCATAATGACAGCCAACACTAAGTCGTGATTGGTTTAGCACAAGGTGGGACCTTGATACTGCTTCTCCAATCCATTCCATCTTTATATTCAGTCTATGGGACATTTGACTGACTAATCCAGTGACTATAAAATGCTAATTAAGTCTTAATATCTGGCTCAGCAAATACACCCATATAAATTGACTTTGTGAACTCAGCCAAGCCAACTGAAATAGCAAACAGTGACATGTGAGATTTTGGCTTGTGTTCTGCCATTCTTCCACCCAGTCACCAGATGTCCCCTGACTTTCCCACCTGTCCCACCTGACTACCATCACCCACCTACACGCCCGCTCCCATTTCCCTCATCACCTTTCGTTCCTGGTTACGTTCTCTTGTGTTCATCAAGTTCAGTATCCTCTTGTCTGTTGCTGCTTGAAATCCAGTGTTTCGTGGTTTATTGAAATAAACCCTTATCAGAATACTTTACAGCATCTGCCTGATTGTCTGCATGCAGGTCCACCTTTCACTGCTGCTGTTCAAATCCTGACAGAAAAGAATTCAGACATGCAATGTGTGTTTGTGTTGTGTTACAGTGAGCGGACACAGGGTTTGTTCAACACTACGGAAACATTCACCATGCAGTCTATACATTCAACTACATCTGCAAGGTCACACACGGTTATATTAGGCAAAATGTACACATTTAACAGTAGAAACTATTTTTTCACTCTCAGTAACTTTTTATATGTAATAGCTTTAAAGGTTCAGTGTGTAGAATTTAGTGACATGCAGCTGAACACTCTTCATCTCACCCTCCCCTTCCCAAAGAGAACGTGTGGTGAACTTCAGTTGTCATGACAAGGTTTTAGTTTGTCCAGTTTGGATGGCAGTAAAAAACATGGTGGCCTCCACAGAGAGGGAACCCCCCTTCATATAAATATAACGTTTTTAAATATAAAGGTCCATTCTATGGTAAAGAAAACAATAATTCATACAATTTAAATGAAACACACCAGTGAAAACTTAAACGATTATTTTATATTACATTTCTGTAATCCCTTTTCACCTAAATCTTACACACTGGACCTCTAAGAACAAACTTCTAATCTTAAAATTGGAAGTTGGTGAAAATGTTCATAATCCACGATCTCAATGATTCCAGAGGGAGCTGCTTGTCACTGAGTTCCATGTTTTAAGTGTGTCTGTCTTTACACCAGAAACTGATTGGTCCAATCAAAGGGCAGTTCCATCAGCAAATTTTCCCACCACCCTTTGTGCTCTTCAGTAACTGTCTACCCATGTGCAGACATTTAGCAGTAAACATAATGGTGCTATTTAGAGCAAATCTTAGAGCATCCGACACATAGTGGGAATCCAGATGTTTCAGGTGGTGCAGCAACAAATTGAGGCTAAAACTGACAGTAAACACCTTTAAATATATGATATGTTGTATTCAGACTATTATTATGGCTCATGTCTAAACTGCAAAGTTGATGGATGGTTCTTTATCATTTAACACTAGCAATCCACTCTTCTTGATCAGACTGGTCACAATAAATGTTAAATATCATATCATTTTAGCAAGGATTTATTTAATTCATCATTTTAACAGAATCTAAATAATATCACATTATGTTTTTCTATGTGTCGTTAACAGGTTTCACAAAGACGGACTTTCACTAACGCTTATATCAGACTAATAGTAAGACATCAGTCTGTGTTCATCTCTTGCACACAGTTGTTCTAATTTAGGCAAAACATAACTGACCAAGAAACCACATGAACCACTCAGCTCCTCTCAGTCCAGCTGTAGTGGAGCTGAGCTGCATGTGAGTCAGCGGTGATGATGTCATCACTACTGCATATGTGCAGCTTATTGCACCCAAACTCTATCTTATATCATTAGTCATGACATAATGTAGCTGTGTCTGTATTGTTATTTGCGGCCACTGGTCAGCAGGTGTCACTATGATCGTTACCATGGAAACAGGGGACTCAATTCAGAGTTGGTCTGGAGCTACAATGACGAACATTTTAGACGTAAAATAACCTATTTTTGTGAAACTGATGTGCACTAGTTTGATCTGTGAGAAGAATGCAGAGTGTCCCAGCGCAGACCAGTGTCAGATCTCTCAGAGACCAGGACATACAGCACAGTTACCAAAAATATGCCACACACCTCATTAGACAAATACTTCAAATATGGATAACAGGACAGACTGTGTTATATAACAAGAAGCTAAAGTTGTAGGTCAAAGCTTTTCCCCCTACTTGTAACCCCCATATTGAATAAACATCTTGCTATGTGTGCCTGCTCTTCTACTCAGCTCTAAAACTAATGGTAAAGTTCCACCTTCAAACTGTGTTGCATTAGCTGCTGCTTAGAGCACCCGTACCACTAACTCATCACAGAAACCTGTAAATCATTGGTGAGGGGTATCTCAGTCATAGTTACACATGGTAATTCAGAGAGCTCATTGACACAGAGCTAAGAATTCAAAGGTCAGGGTATGAAATTAAAAGATCACAACTTAAAGGGATAGTTCACTGAAAAATGAAATCATGTGGTGAAGTGTTTGAGTACACAAAACACTCAGAAGTAAACTTTGTAGCAGCCGAATCCAATACAATTGAAGTCAATGGTGACCTGGACTTCAGCCGTAATAAAACATGGTGTAAATGACGTCGTTTCGAGTCGAAAATGAATGTCGCGGCTTGTGGACACTTGATGACACCACCCGAGCAGTATGGAGGCATGTTATGTTTTTTCTGTTGTTTTAATACATCTGAAATCATGGTCACCATTGACTTCAATTGCATCGGATTCGGGTGCTACAAAGATTACTTTTGAGACTCCTGAAGCGTTTTGTGGACTCAAACACTTCACCCACCCCTCCATTGGCATAGTGGTGTCTCTAATGTCTAAATTAAATGATTATTTAAAATGAAGTTTATAAATGGGCCTGTGCAGGCTGTCTGCTGCTGCCTGGACTCCAAAAACATTTACATACTCTAGCAGCCTAAACAAACTTTTTTTTACTTTAAGATTTCATCCCTCACCTTTATATTTAATCTGATCTTTATCATATCATTTACATATTTCTCTAGAAAATTGCAAAGACAGTACGCCTGGTCTGTTTGGACCTGCCAGTCTTGGTTGCACATCTACTCCTTTATCAGTGTCATAGACCCTGTTCAGACCTGGGATTTACATCCACCCTGAGTGAGCGGATCACAACTGGTCAGCACTAAATTTCAGCTTAAAGCACCCAAATGCGTCCTCAGGGCTTGCTGGAATCCAAACACTCAAACAATGTTCAAGGTGGTTTTAGACTTTTGCACATTCTTTTCGCTGTCTTAATATAAGTGAGTCCTGGGCCACATATCAAGAAAATATCTCTAACCCGCTATAGTTTCACAGTGAATTGTAAATATTTTCATGCTTCTCTGTGTGCATACGTGTGTAACTCACAGTGCATAGTCAGGGAGGATTTTCTTTGTGAAGAACTCCTCTACTCCTTCATCCACTCGGCCCATCCCCTCACTGGCCTCATTCTCTACTTTTAAAACAGGCTCCTGTAACAAAAAAAACACAACAGTATTTACACCTTAGCTTAGGAGTGTGAGGCTTGTCAGGGAGAAGAAATACACCCAAACATCCAATATGTCAGTTTTTCTGTTTCTTCATAAAAGCACCTTTGAACTTAATAATCAACCAAAACATCCTCATAGTTTATTCACTATTATATTACAATCAGCCTAACAATTGGAATGGGTGTTGCCCTTTTTCGCCAAAAAGTGTGTCCACATGGCCACAGGTTTAACAGGACCTAAAGACATAGTTCAAGATTCAATAATCACATCACTACGACTTTATTATCTGCTTGTCAGTTCAAGGATCAATTTGAAAGGTTCACAAGTCATTTTAAGGAGAAACCAGGGCTGGCTCTAATACGTTTCAGATGTGATCCTGTGTACCACTCTCATGAACTCCCATCTGTTCCAAAGACTTCTCCTGAAGAGAGTGGATCTTGTGGGACCAAATCAGTTTATACAGTGACATTTGGGGACTTGTCTTCTTCATGGGGACCAAATGCAAGTCTCCATTACATAATCCCATACATTTTAAAGTAAAGACATGTTTTAGGTTTAGGTAAAGATTAGATTGAGGTTTGGGTAAGGTTAGGGTTAGGCAAGCAGTATGGTTAATGTTAAAGTAAGATGGCCACTGATTAGGCAATGTGGTCGTGTTGTGGCCAAGAGACATGACAGACTACACGCTGCTCCTTCTTTTACGATGTAGGTCACAGGAAAGGAAAAGCTTGTGACTGATTTCCAGGGAGATGAATGTCACAAACATGGCAAATAAAGCAGCGAGGATGATACTGGCTGTCGTGTGCTCAGAAAAGCCTAAAAACTTTCCTTTGTTTAATATGTCCGTCTTTTAACACTAACAGCATCACTGTTCTTTCAGTCCGCCGTGTTAACATTTGTGCACGGCCTAATCTATCGCAGCTCAGAGCTGTCAGCTGTGTTTTTGGTCATCGTAACAGAGATGACAAACCCGCTGTGTTAGTATGAGTCATTTATTTGAATGCGTTGCAGTAATTAATAACAGAACTGAGTTGGTTTGTATGTGTTGTCAGATGTGGAGTAACAGCCTTCTGGACCTGCTCATGATGCTGTGGACTAAAACAATAAGCAGATCCAGTTCAGCACAGTAGTCATGTGTAAGCATTATTCTAACTGGGTCAAACTCAGTGTGCACAAACATAACTTTATTAGCTTACTGGAAACGCAGGTGTGTGGATACAAAGTTTCTGCTAACCCTTCACATGTCATAGACATCATGTAGCAGCACAGTGCAAAGAGTTGCTTCCTTCTTCCACTTCACACCACTGAGAAACAATTATCAGATTTTCATATAATTTTCTGACTGAGATAAGTTGCTACCATGGCACAAGCCAAAATATTTATTATTTCCATGTAGACTTTATTTCATTTTTTACTTACATTCAAAGGAACAAAACAACTGAGACAAAGCTGTGACTGTGGATATAATGTAATGGCTCTTGGCAGAAAGTAGTAACTGATTCTGAGGGAAATTAAGAAAAAAAATATTAATATGACCGTGAATGTAGGTTCTCCAACAGGTTTAGAAAAGGAGGGTGAGGCGAGGGTGTTCAGTTTGTTACAATATGCAACTTCACTGCGAGATTTAACAAAATCCTGAACACTGAACCTTTACTGAAAGCAGTCAATGACCTTGAGCTTTTTCTAAATGTTCATAAAATAATGCATTCGTTTTCACTGCTTAATGTTTTAGCTGCTCATCTCACGTTAAGCAACATCTTAGTCAAAAGGTGAGTAAGCCAGCTCCTGAATGATCTCGCTACTTTGCAGTTACGTACAAATTGTTTTAGTAGGTGAACAAGAATTCAGAGAGAGAGTGTCATGAGATGCACTTGGTCTGACAGCAGGTGACTTGATTCGCCAACGTGATCTGCCAGCGGCAGCAGGGGTGTAGTAAAAAAACACAGACGTCAAGTTGGACACTTTCTGCTACTGGTAGTGTAGGTGAGACTCATGGCGGTTGCTTTTCTCATTGCAGATGAAACAGATGCTCAGGAAATCCCTGTGTTTTTGCACGAAGAAAAATGAACAACGAAGGTGATTGAGAACTTTCTTTCAGCTGAAAATTACAACTATAGTGTGTAAATACACAAGAATGTCAGAAGGAGAGGAAATTCATCACATTGTCTTCCGAGACAACTAAACAGAGAACTTTCTTCTTCTTAATTAATCACCACATTCGATATACAAAATAAGGTACACATGAATAAAATAAAAACATAGGAGCAGCCATGCGTGTCAGTGTCCGAGTCATTTGAAATTTCACCGATAAAAAAACGTCTAATAAGTCAAGTTTTAACAATAATAAACATAAAAAATGTCCTAACAATAGAAAATTACATTAGGCCAAAATAAAAGGCCCACAGTCATTATGCGGTATTTGTCTCTTTCTATCATCCAATGAAAATAATGTCCCTCTCTTTCATTCTCTGCCACCTCCTTTACAGCCACCTGTCTCTATGTGCTACATGCCAACATGGCACTTTGTCACACAGTGGTTGGCATAGAGACTCTTTCTTTCCCTCTCACACACACACACACACACAAACACACACACACACACACACACACACACACACAGACAGCAACATGTTTACAGAAGTGCAACAAAATAGTGAGTAATCACAACAAAATGTGTGTCTGACACACTTTTCAGTTTTTTACTGGACTTGGCTTCTCTGTCTATCCAGCACACATGTTGAATGAGCTAACACTAACTCTTCCCAGTGACAAGCAGGAGCAGAACACTGTGCACACAGGAGCAGGTGGAAGTAAAGCTATAACAGGGAGCATGTGGCCTGGAGAAGCTGCTGATGCAGATATTAGAGGTCATTACAACAGACATTTTGTTGAGAATATATGAGTGCAGCCTATTGACAACCACATCTACTTTTCATGATCAACTTGCTCCACTGGATGACACGCAATTGACTTCCTGCTGCCCCCTCCTCTTTTGAGTAAGTGGAGAGGAATGCCTTCCTTTTCATCGCTGAGAGCAGTTGGAGACAACGGTGGGATTTGAAGATGCTTTGGACCCTTTAGTTGACTTTACTGCCTTTTTATAATGAACTCTTCAGGCATGCTCAGTCCTCTCCTGCTAAACTTCTCATAACAGAAGTGTTGACATAACCAGACCCAGCACTACCATCTTCAACCTGGAGAGGCTGATGCTTTTATCAGATGATACAATTAACCTCAACTCATTGAGCTCAACTGCCTACAATGACTGCCAGAATCAAATCGTATCAAATCAAAGAATCCAATTTTAGTCACTAAGGCTTGGCTATAGAGAAACTTCTGGGTCTGTACCCATCTACCTGAACTCAGCTGCTACTTGTTCCTTGTAAGATCCTCATCTGACACTGGGCAGTCACAGTCTCATCTGAAGGGGAAAGAACCGTCTGAAAACACAGCACCTCTTAACAAAACTCTACCCTACCTAAACTCTATTCTACTCTACTGTCACACATATGCAAATGAAAAGTTACCAAAGTTAAACTCCATGTGAAGCCACGCTGCGATTTGTCTCGCAACAGAATGTGAATGTTTATGCACCTCCTTGCTCTCACAGATTGGAAGTGAAGGGGAGGTGAGGGTTTTTTCCACTGTTACACACACGGAAATGTACTTTAATTATTCTGCACCTGTGAGTGAATGAATCTCACTCGACGCCTTTAAAACTAGAATAAAAAAACCTGAAGCAGATTAAAACTATGTTTTTAACTTACCTGGTGTGTTACACATGTTTTTACCTTTATTTAAATTTAAATAAAGGGTAAATGAAATACATGTGCGTGACTGGGCCCTAAAAGCATCTAAAAATGATGAACTGTAAAAGTTCAATTTAATTCATGCCCTTGACAAAGTCACATAAACCATTTTCAGACATGGAGGATATCAGCAGAATTGGATCTGGAGTTTGCCTTTCACACATGAAAAATGTAAATTATTTAATTTTATTTATTAGGAATTATACATTTTTATGCCCTAGAGAAGTTTTTCATTTATGTGCTGTTCTGATAATCCTAATCCACACACAAAAAGACCAATTCATTTCATCTTCCAAACACCATTTTCATTTATCTGTTTTGCTCATCATTGTTCACCATTAACGCTGTGTTTATTGGGCTTTGGCTGAGGGGGTAGAGCGGTCATCCTCCAACCAGATAGTCAGCAGTTCAGTCCCCAGTCTTCCCCATCTGCATGCTGAAGTGTCCTTTGGCAAGATGCTGAACCCCAAATAGCCCCTCATAAAAACAAAGTGTTGCTAATAGATGCACTGTGTGTGTGTGAATGTGAAACTGTACTGTAAAGCACTTGGAGTGGTCATCAAGACTAGAAAAGCTCTTTATAAATAAAACCATTTATTCAGTTATTACATTTTAGTAAAAAAAATCCTGTTATGTGTTTTAAGGTAGACACAAAATATCACTTTTTAACTAAGACTAAGACTAAAGCAGTTTTCAGACATGACCTGTAGGTAAAATCCAGAGAACTGGCAGCAGACTTTACCTGCAGTTTGCCTTTTACACATGCTCAACGCAGAGGGAGATTCTCTGCACAGACCCGTTCACAACAATATACATAAACCATCAACAGACCAAAATATAAATATAAGCGTTATTTTAATCTCAAATTATAGAAGAAGAATTTTCTCCACTCATATAAGGTCATATATTCCTCACATTATCACATCATTTCAACATTTCAGTCCTGCTTTATTTTTTTTTCTCAGGACATGTTATTCTGGTTTGGACAGGAAACGTTTCCATTACTATAAACTAACTGTACGGCCACAGCCTACAGCACAGGCCTCCATACAGTTTGTGGATATCTTTTATCATAAATAAAGTTGTGCGTGGGGGGGTCAGATTTTCTCTGCACTGTGATTCTCCTTTCCTAACTCCTTACAGCTTCTCCTTCACATCTTTCCTTGACCTTGTGACATTTTCCATAGGGTTAAGGGAATAGTGGTTAGGAAAGGAGATTACTTGGACTTTGCGACTGCAGTCCTGGCCTGGTAGATGCTCTCTCTGACTTTTCCGCCTGTGTGAATCAGCTGACTGCCCCTGTGATCAGGTGACTGCTGATCATGTGGATGTATAGTGGGAAGGTTTCCTCATGTATTTGCCAGATCATACAGCGCTGCCTTGTGCTCTAGCCATCTGTTCCAGCATGCCCGCCTTTTCCATTTTGAGATCATGGAATTTGTTAAGTATAATGTTATCCACATAAATTCTAGTAAGGGGTTTGGTGATATAATTTTAAATATAATAAAATAAGATCCTGTGGATTTTACTTTAATTAGTATCCTTTAAATAGTCAAAATCCAACTAAATAACAGGATCATGGAAAAGGGACATAGCATTCCGATACAGCCAGTGAGGCGTCACGTTATCTGTACATCCACAGTTGTATTACAGCAGAATTTTATCTGCATTGCTCTGCAGTCTTTACTTGCTCAATCTCAGTGTCCTCTTGTGTGCACAGAGCAACAACTAACCCATCATCAACCTGTGGAGCTCAAAAGACAGACACAAACATTGTGTGACAATAAAGTAGCTGCTGAGTCTGAAGACGCACAGAATGAACATGGACATGTATGGAACACCACAAAGTAATCAGCTCATAGACATCAAAGGTTTGTTTTTCTATTTCATATTATTAGCATATTTATTTGATATGAACATTTTAACTTACAAAATACAGGTCATTTACCAGAAGGTAATCATTTAACACAATAGTTTTTGTAATGAAAAATGTTGCTGTCACATATGAACATAATTTATATTAGGGGTAACATATGAAATCTATAGCTGACTAAAGAACTAATGCCACATTCATGACTTATGGGATTTAAGTTAGCAAGGAAAATCTTTCCATGTTTAAGAGTTGTGAATATTTGTATCATTTATGTCCTATTCAGATTATTTAGCTCAAAGGTTTCAAAGCAAATTGTTTTCCACAGGTAATTAGGATGTTGATGTCGACTTCAAGTGACACTCACATTTACTGTTAATACAGTATAATACAAGGTTCTTCCTCCTATTAGATGAAATAATGTAACTCAAACTTGCATGCTATCATTCTAATGAGAACCTCTCCTAACTAAGGTCAGCATGCTAGCCTGAAAATGCCTGGCCCTCTTAAATCCATCTAGCCTGCTATAAGGCTAACGGTAGCGTCTCCTTTCATTTTAATTGAAGCAAACATTCGAGCCGGCAGGACAGTTTGGTAAATATAACCTCTGACTTTCCATTAAGACCAATGGCCATAACGTACACGCTAACCATCATTATGCAGAATGTCATGACATTACATTACATTTGATGTTGAACAACAAATTGCAAAATGCATGATTCAAATCTAACCAATAAGGACCCATACACTGTGATTGTGATCATTGTGACAAATAGTAGCAACAAAACACCAAATGGGTATCTTTCAAAAAATGAATCCCAGATGAGACACAGTTTAAACACACAAGGTCACCACAGATGAAGAGACATCCTCGTGTTCCATTTACACAGTGACAGCACAGTGAAAGAAAGAGACCCCCATTAATGTGAGAACATGAATAATTGAGTTAGTGAAAGCATTCCCAGGAGGACCAGAGAGAGAGGGAGAGAGAAATCAGCACTGGGAAAAACCCAGGGAACACCACTCCCAAAACACACCAAAACACACACACACACACACACACACACACACACACAAGCACTAAGCGCGACTACATGGAGCAAGATAATGCAAAGAAAAAAATGGCTACCATTATTACTACAGCATCACAGAAATTATAAGCAAGATATATAGATAGATGGATAGATAGATGGATAGATAGATAGATAGATAGATAGATAGATAGATAGATAGATGGATACATTTTTAACACGTTTATTCTCTCAATTTCCATGATCTTCTCCTTAGAGATCCCTCTGTAGTCATGCAATTAGATTCCACTTCATCTACCCTTCCCTCCATCTCTCCTTTCCTCTTCTCCATCCCTGCATCCTGCTCTCCACCTTTCACCACGGATACATGTTGTGTCCATGCAGAAATGCAAATGCTGTTGGATTTCTGCATGATACAGATGCACGTTGACTCAAACTGTGCGTGTGTGGTCACTGTGTTCCTACCTGAGGCCTGGAGGAGGGGGGTTGTGTATGTGTGCGTCGTGGCCGCGGTCGGGAGGCGGTGTAGTGCCTTAGAGTCTGTCCCTGGGTGGGTAGAGGCTCCATGGGAGAAGCAGGGGATCCCGAGCTTCGGCCGCAGCGGGAGAAAGGAGGTTCTCGTGTGGGTGAGCCTCCGCGGCCGGCAGCCTCCTCCTCTGGTGCTGGAGTGGAGATGGAGTACAGGAGGGGGAGACTGGGAGGAGGAATGAGCGATGCTCCTCTCGCTCCTGATATTGCTGCTGCAGCATCCACCACCTCCCCCCGCCTCCCCCTCCTCCATCCCGGGGGGGAGGGGGCCGGGGAAGGGGAGGGCGAAAGGGAGGGGCTTGTGGCTGTGACTGACAGGGGGGGGAGGCCACGTCTTTCTTCTCCTCCTCTTTCCTCTCCAGCATCTCCTCCCCTCTCTCCCTCTGCTGCTCTGTTCCTGGTCTGCTGCTCCCAGTCTGCATCCAGGAGACCTGACAGAGAGGAGGCATGAGTAATGAGAGAGAGCGAGGCAGAGATCATGGGAGAGAGGGAGAGAAGGATGGATGGGTGGATGGATGCTTTACTGAATGTTTTTTGGTGGAATGGGCCATAGGACATGCAGAGCTGTAAAGGGAAGAGTTATAGAGAATGTATGGTGGATAGAGACGATAGTGTGTTCAAAAGGAGGAGAGACCATCATGATTGAAGGGGGAGGAGAGACTAAGCATGACAAGGGGGGGAGAATACAAGTGAGAAATATTTGTTTAAGCATATACACAGAGGGAGGGGACAGAGAGCAGATGGAAGCTGCAGGAACACGGACACACAAGACAACATAGTTTATGGTCAAATTCATTCGGGTTCAGTGTCTATAAAGCGCCTCTGAAAAGCAAATTGACAGATTTAATTTTTTAAATAAAAATATTTATTTTGTAAAAATAATATTGACCTAATTCTTTTTATGATGTCACACACAATTATAGTAATTTATTGTTTTCATGCATTATGTTGTGAGGAGCTTATGACTTTTAATGTTATTCTCCTGTCAAACAATATAGGAGTGAGGGTGGAGCAGAGCTCTCCCCCCATGTTTCCTCCTTCTCTCTCCCTCCTCCATCTTCTCCTCATCTCATCTCTCCCATGGTGGAAGTCACTGGTGTGAACGTAAACAGGCCATGCTCCAATTAGCCAAACAGTGTCTGCCACAGAATGGTTCAACATGGCACACATGGAGAATACAATGACACAAGATGAAGTAGTATAATATAGGGGGTTCAAATGTATAGCTGGCCTGGATTCCTGCAGCAACAGAACAGAATTAAACTGTTCTCAATGTAATCACATGGGATTTAATCCTGATTACTATTCCATAAGAAATTTTTTCTTTCTTAATAATGCCATGATTTCAATAATCATTCATAGCTCCATAGATTCATAGCTCCAATTAAATGTTTTTTAAAATTCTAAATAAAAGCTGAATGAAAAAATGTATGTGTAAACCTGCTGTTTTGAGACTAAATAATCTCATACATTTTACACAGTCAATATGTTCATACTCTGACTCCACGAAAAGAGCTTTGAGGATTGCAAACAAAACTACACTAAAATTTTACTTAAAGGTACAGTGTGTAGAATTTAGTGATATCTAGTGTTGAAATTGCATGTTGCAGCTGAACACCCCTCACTTCACCCTCTCCTTCCAAACATGAAAGAAAAACTCTGGTAGCTTTTAATTGTCATAAAAACTGAAAAAGCAGTTGAGTTTGTCCAATCTGGACTAATGTAAAAAACATGGCGGCCTCCGTAGAGAGGACCCCCTCGATGTAAATATAATGCATTTGAATATAAAGGGCCTTTTCTGCGTGGAGTGAAAGGAGCAAGCTCCAAATTTCAGCCCCTCATGCTAAAAATCGGCTTAATATGCAGTCCTCTTATAGAGGACATATCAGATATTAAACTGATAAGAACAGATACTACACTTGATCTTAGCCAAAAGGCCAAGAAGCAAATATAATATAATTGTATAACCCATATTCACAAATCACAATTTGTCTCACAGGGCTTTGACAAGCTGTGACATCCTCTGTTCTTAAACCTCAACAAGAGTAAGAGTTGTTTCTTCTTGGATTGCTTGAATGGAGGTTAGTTTTTATTTGCAGCATCTAATCTGCATCTAATCTTTGCTTTGATATGTATATTCGGGCAGATATCTGACTGCTTATATTAATCACAAAGCTTATTTTTATTTCTCTACTCCTTTTTGAACATCGATTTAAGTAACTTTTAAAAAAATGTTTTCAATAAAGAAAGACTTTTCTTTTACAGCCACAGTCTGTGGACATTCCTCAGATTCTAGCCCCTTTGCAGGTAAAACAAAATGAGTAGCACAATAATCAATATGTTACATCCAACACTGTGGTGTAAAGGTGTGGTAGAGGAAATAATAACAACTTTGTATTTTGGAATGACTCATTACTGCTGTTAAATCATGATAGAGGGATAATAAATTGTATTTGTGACCAGACAAAAATGTTCTTACTCTATATGTGTGTGTGTACAAAAAACTCAACAATACATGGGTGTACTTTTACCAAACTGAGTGGGAGTATTACTCCAAACAATCAATCATCAAATTTTATTTGTACAGCCCATATTCACAAATCACTATTTGTCTCAAAGGGCTTAAACAAGGTGTGACATCCGCTGTTCTTAACCCTCAACAAGAATAAGGGAAACTACCAAAAACCCTTTTAACAGGGAAAAAGAACGTAGAAACCTCAGAGAGAGTAACATGTAAGGGATCCCTCTCCCAGGACAGACAGAAATGCAGATGTCACGTGTAATGGAGAACATCAGACATCAGTATTTACAGCATTGGTTAGAATAAACTGTTTGTAACATATTGGAAAGTAAATTAATTGAGGAATTATTGTCAGTTTTGGTAGAGTATCTGAGGAGACATATTGTATATCAAGTAGTCTTGTTGTAATCAACAATTACAATTACTTGGGAAGGTATCCTCAGATGATTAACTTTTGAAGGTGATTGATCAAAGTCTAAGGCTGATTTATACATTTTATTAAGATTAGAAGTAAGGTTGGTAAGTTATTTCTGATACTTTGTGTCTTATTTGTAGAAATCTTCTTCTCGTCCTGATAGCCATCAATAAATAACGTCATCAGAAAAAAAAAGCTTGTTTCTGTGGCCCTCAGAGGACTGCAATAAAAGTGGCCAATCATTTCATTTGGACCAAATGAGATGATTGGACAATAGTCAGAAGCTAGGGAGTGTGTAAGTTCGAGCAGTTGTCAGGCAGTGCATGTTCATGTGTTTTGAGGGCGTAGCTTTGACGAGAGGGCTGATGGGAGGGGGAGGTATGTATCTGTTGTAGATTTAAAGTATAGCCCATGTAGATTGCTGTCTCAAGCATTCCAGCATTACCAACCCTCACTTTAACCAATTATTCATCATCATGTGGTATAAATGACAACACGATGAAATGCCATTATACTAAAAGGATAGTTCACCCAAAAATGAAACTTCACTCATTGTGAACTCACCATTATGCCGATGAAGGGGTGGGTGATGTGTTTAAGTCCACAAAACACTTCTGGAGTCTCAGAAGTAAACTTTGTAGCAACCAAATCCAATACAATTGGAGTAACTGGTGACCAAGACTTCAGATATAATAAAACAGAAGAAAAAACACTTCACCCACCCCCTCCATTGGCATAGCGGTGAGTAGATAATGAGTGAAGTTTCTTTGTTGGGTGAACTTTCCCTTTACATACAAATATTAATATCACAATCAGACCTAAATACAGATATAAATAT